ATGCTGCTCGTGTGGACTTCCCTCCTCCTCTTCCCTAAAGGATGCTCATCGCCCGTCCGGAAGCTGCTGCTCATGCTGCCTCCTAGAGTACAATGGCAAGGGGTCTGCAGGGCTTCTCGTGGACCATGCTGCTGCTGCTCTGCGCCATCCAGGAGCTGGGGGCCTGGGCCGTGCCCACTGCGGCGGAGGGCCCAGGGCCGCTGCACTGCTGGCCAGCGGGCGAGTGAAGCGTGGCTGGGTCTGGAACCAATTCTTTGTGGTGGAGGAGTACACGGGCACGGAGCCGCTGTACGTGGGGAAGGTAAGGTGACCCGATGTGTCCGTGGGACTGACCAAGCCAGGGGCAGAGCAGGGCGTGCTGGCAGCACAGTCTGGCCTGGCAAGGAGAGAGGACTTGCATGAAGGTGGCTCGTGGGGGCCTGGTGAGAGAAGTAGTCTAAGGACTGGGATGGCAGGAGCCCGGTCCCTGCTGGGAGGTGGGAAGGTTAGTGTGCTCCCAGAGACTCTAGGGCAGGAGCACAGCAAAGTTCACATGTATGTTCTTCCAGTTGTTTGCTGGGTTCCCGTTGTGCTTGGGGTGGAGGCAGGAAGGGGTGCAGTTCTGGGTGTTACCGGACGGTGAGGAAGGCACAGCCACATCTCTGTGGGAGGGCCTGGTGGGCTGGACCATATGTGCAGACCGGGCTGGGCTGACATCTGTTCCTGCTGGTTCCTGCCATGCCTTGGGAGCTGAAGTGCTACTGTAGCACCAAGGGCCTTCTTGCCCCTGCAGCTGGTGACAGAGTTGCAGCCCTGACTTCCTGAAGATGGTCCATGCCTTGTTCTGTAGCTTTTTCACCATGGGGATAATGTGCAGGGTTTTGTTTCATTGGCCCTCCCTGTGTCTCCCTCCTGGTCCTGGAAGGACTGTGCTTTTCTGGGGCCTGCAGGCTACAGTGACTGTTTTCCTAGTAAATTATCTCTGCAGATTTGGGCTGGCAGAGGAGATGTTCCATTCTGATTGTGGCATGGAAATCCTGCTCTTGTTTGTGGCCAGAGCAAGGTTGTTGTAGGATTTCTTAACTATGAGGGTGGTGAGACACTGGAACAGGTTGCCCAGGGAAGTTGTGCGTGCTCCATCACTGGATGTGTGAAAGACCAGGTTGGATGGGACCTTGCATGACCTGGTCTAGTGGAAGATGTCCCTGCCCATGGCAGAGGGTTTGGAACTGTATGATCTTTAAAGTCCTCTCCAGCCCAAACCATTCTATGTTTCTGTGTTTTATCTGTTTCAGGCTGGCCTGCACAGTGTGGTGTGGAGGGTGCTTGGAGGGACCCTGAGGGCCAGCACTGGTGTTAGGGCTTTCCTGGGGCTTGCCAGGAGCTGTGCCCATTAGCCCTGTACTTTGGATGCTCCTGAGTGCCAGCTGGGAGGTGCACTGTGTTACTGTGCTGCTCTCCAGGCCAGATCCTTGCTGGGTTTTGCACAGGCAGTGGCACTGATGAACTTCTAGGGAGAGGTGCTGGCAAGTTTTGGGCTTGTTGTGACCAGTGGGTCCTGCTGTGCTGTGAGAAGTGTGATAGCAGTCACTGGAGCAGAGCGTTTCCTGCGTGCTGGAAGAGCCCTGACCTCTCCCTGGCAGGCTCCCTTCTCTGCAAGGCGACAGCTATTTGTGCTGTCCTGGCTCTTGCTGCTGCTTGCACGCCCTGCAGAGAGGACTGCTGGCAAACCTGGAGCTGCTGGCGGGTAACAGAGCCTTGCCAGGCAGGGCTGGATCTGTCCTGGGGAACTTGCTGCGTCCCGGCTGCGCGTGGACCTCGTTCTCCCTCCACTTCAGGTGTCCTGAGGCTGAAGGAGCATTTTGCCTTGGGGTTGCTGGTCTTTGTCCTTTTCTGGGAGCTGTGGAGAAGCTGCCCTCTGGCACCCACAGGTTGGGAGGCTGTGTTACTTGTATACTGATGAAGGCAGTGCTAGCTGTTGGGACCAGCCGTGGGACTGCAAGCCAGCCAGAGCTGCACCTGTGGGCACATGGGCTCTCCTCACAGGAAAATGCCCAAGAGCTCGTGCAGCAGGGCTGACGTACGCCCTTGGCCGTCTGGCCGTGAGTCTGGAGGCAGCTTGGAAAGGGCCTGTTGGCTGGGGGCCAGGGGTTGCAGCCGTGCTC